TGCTGTTTTGAAAGCCAAACAATATTTTTATAGTTCAAAGTAAATAATTTTAATTTTGGAAACAGAAAGCAACTTTACATTAAATGTGAGATTAAAATAAATGATTGCTGCATCTTGTAATCAAAATTATTTTTCTTCCTCTCCTTCAATTACATGAGGAAAAGATTAGCAAAAAAAATTCAGAAATTTTATTAATAAAAAATATATTTTAAGTAATACAGGGGTGATTATGACTTTATGAAAACCAGGGGTGGTAAATTTCTTCCATGACAATGGGGGAGTCCGGGGGTGGGGGAATAGGTTCAACCCTAGAGTAATATTGGGGATATTTCCGTATCGTGATCTGTGACGCCAAATAGATTCGCCAAGGCGTGATTCAACCTTCACTAAGGAGGCAGATCGCGAGTCACGTGATTCTACTTTAGATTCTGACGTCATTGCTCAAGCGTCATATATCACGTGACTCTTAACATTACAAATTACATTTACAATGGATTAAACTTATTTCATTATTTATTTACCTTAAGTAATATTTTCTTTTTAAATCGCTCTTATGACCATACGCTTAAAAATATCCAGCAAAAAATATAAATAATGCATTTACGAAATATGGATGGTGTTTTCTACACTAGAGAACGCTGCAGGCTCGGGACTGCCTAAATTTCCGGGTCACTGTTTCAGTAATGCACAGGTCGTCGGGCTACCGAAGTGGGGGCACCACCCCCTCCTCAGAGGATCAAAATTGTGATGGCATGTCTTCGGATCATCCTCCGGGATGCTTCCCAGACCGTCGCCAATAGCCCATTGTGCAGCTCTAATGCCACGTAAATTAACAACAACTACTGTTTCAGTTGTATTTTAAAGCCATTTGGCATCATTGTGTTTTGAGATTCTTGCAAACAATGTATTTGATTACTTATTACTTGTGTTTACAATGCTAACAATACTTGTGTTTACACTACCAAAAGTGTTAACACTAACGTAAGATGGTACACAGCTTGCAACACGAACAGTATTAAACAAATTGAAAGAGGCCAAATCAAGACTGCCAAAAAAGCGAGTTATTCAAAATCTAGCAACCATATCACCTTTTTTAATAATAAATAACAAAATAACTAGAACAAATTTTACCTCCAAACTTCCCAGAATTACATAATAACATTAATATCTTAAGAAATACGGCAGATTTGAGCTCAGAAATTATCTAATTTATTTCTTTTATTGAAAACAAAATTATCCGCTTGAAAACATCGCCTATCAGAATAACATGTAGTAAGCAGCTGCAAACTTTTTAACCGGAACTAGAGTAGGTGCCGAGCTCGAGATTGTTATTGTTTACATTTCTATTGAAAACACCATCCATATTCAAAAGGGTTTCTTAATTATGCATCTAAATTTGATGCAACTTTATAATAATTCAAAAATGATTATATTGAAAAAGTTTCCGTTCTTCATTTTCCATTCTTTTTATTACCCTCTTATATTTTACCCAACTCAGAAGACAAGTTGCCAAGTAGTCACATGTTATTTATTATTTATTTATTTTATGTTAGAATTGTTAGTTATCCAATTTCATTGCTTTCAGTCTAGCCATAAGGGTTGTGGCGTAACTACCACTACGATTAATAAATATCAATTCACTGGTATATAAGACATGCTAACCTGCTGATTCAATAATGAGGTACCTTTTGATAGATGAAGGTTGGCATTGTCGATAACTCCTCCCCCCACATTGGTGACTCACGGACGTGAGATGATCATGCCAATCTTGACAGTAACGCCCTCTTCGATCTGGTAAAGCCTACTTCTATGGATGGTCCACATTGAATAGTTGAGTTGCTTCTTGTGACTGCGACACTATCCACCTTCTCGCGCTGTTGCTGCTCAGTCTCGTCTCGATCATACACAACGTCAGCCTGCATACACTCGACTGCTAAAGGCAACACAGGAGCGAGTACGACCGTGAAGTTAATACACCTCTCACATTCAGCACTCAAAAACTCTGTGACCTTAATCCAGCTCTCCCGGTCTTTCACAAATACAGCAACTAGTGGTATCCGTTCATCGAATTCTATCCCTGATAAAATTCTGGTGAGGGAGTATTGTGGCGTAGCTACCACTACGATTATTAAACATCAATTCACTCCACTGGTATATAAGACTTGCTAACTTGATTCAATCACGAGGTACCTTTTGATAGATGAAGGTTGGCATTCTTGATAACTCCGCCCCCCACAGCGTTATTTGTAATTTTGTATAGCACAAATTCGTGTTAGTAGTTAAATACTATGAAAAAAATTTTAATAGTTTTAATTAAGGAAAATTTCAATTACAAAATACTTTAAATTTTTTTTCTTCTGTAATCTACCATTGTATATACAAATGAATTAGGCAAAAGTCATTCGAACGAATTTCTTTTTTTCACATGTCGCATAAATTCGTCAAAAACTTTTTCAAGTAAAATTAATCGCATTCATTAGGATTTATAAACATTCATTAGCGATTTGAATAAAGCCAAATAATGTTAGTTTAATCATAACAAATGAATATATCTGAAAGTCTTTAGAATAACTTAGATTATATTTAATAAAGAATTTTAAAACAGAGGAAAGAACTATGCTGAAGTTTTTTTTCCGCCCTAAAATTTGTAATTTAGCATTGTTTTCAAAAAAATGAGTATTTTTAAAAGATCTAATGTCAAACAACAAACTAAGAAATACTAACTAAAGAACTTTTCTTATTCAAGCATTTTTTGTTTATTCAATTTCTAACGAAAAATTTGGAATTGGGATTTTGGAAATTTTTAAATGTTAATCTTAAAAAATTTCGTTTCTAAAATACTAAAATAATTAAAAAAAAAGTTATCCAGATTATTTCGGTTTTATAGTTATAAGAGTAAAAATATCTTTTTGTCTTTTTATTTCGCATTTGTAATTTTCGCATATGCAAGATTCGCAAGGTGATCAGAAAATTTAAGAAAATAAATTATATTAAATTTCTTAATTATGCATCGAAAGTAATCAATTACTTTGTAATAATTTCAAAAACGATTATACTGTAAAAACTTCCGTTCTTTCAAATCTCTTAAAAAGAATTGTACAGTGGATGAAAAATACGTATACAATTTATAGTAATTCCTTTTTATGTTATATACAATATAGTTATAGTAATCTTATTCATTTATTTATTATGTACTAACCTAAGTTATAACACTCCAATTTTTTAAAGGAAAAAATTGCAAAATTTTACTAAAAAACAAATTTTTCTTTAAACTATTAATCATTTTCTTTTCTTTAAATATTTTGAAAATATTACAAGGGAGTTAAAAGAAAAGTTAATAAAAGCACAGCAATAATTATACTAAACATATTATGGCTAAGAATACACAAAAGTTTGGAACAAAAAAAAATTTCAAGTTTTATTTAAAGTTGTGCAAGTATATCATAGGTTTTATCAAAGTTGTGCAAGAAACTAAATATTTAATCGAAGAGAAAAATTATTTCTGAAGAGAAAAATTCTGTCTGAAATATATTCATAAAATATCGAGGTAAATTATTTTAAGAAATCATAAAATATGTGGGTAAAAATTATCCTTGAAATCGAAAACCTAATTTAATCCCAGCGTTAAACGCATCCTATTTGAATGTTCGAATCTCTTTCATCAGCAAAGTGTTAGGTGAAAGATGTCTGATGGTTGGGAGGGTAAATGAAGGTCGTAGCCCGTTAGCAAAATCCGTTCGAAAGCTCAAGGTTAAAGGTTTTCCCTAGGTGTAGAAACGTGACATCAAAATGACGTAATTTTTCTATCCCTAGCTCATTCGATGGTTGCGAGTTTAGAACTCCTGCTCTACGCCACATATAGCCCATTTCGACCGCCAATGTTCTGACGTGTGATTAAATTCAAAATGCGACGGATCACGCTACTGGTCGAAAGTGACATCACTCGTCGTTATAAGAATCGTCACTTGAAGACTTGTCATTTCAAGGCGTAAGAATTGTCATTTGAAAAAGATAATTGTTATTCCATAAAACACTTCTTACCTTGTCAACAATGTACTTACTTCGAAAGGTAAACCTAAATAATAATTTGCGTGTGTTAAAGGTTAAAATGCAAAAGACTTAAAATAAATTTAAATGGAAACCAATCAGTTCAAAATAAGAAATGAATGGTATTTCTAAAAACTATTTGAAAATTCTCTGTGGGTACATTTCAATTCTACAGCAATTTAAACAGGCATAGATTTTTTTTTTATCTTATTACTGATCTTCGTAGATATATAATCATGAGTCCAATTTTTTGAGAGGTAGTTTTCTAAATTTTCCACATAAAAGAAATTTTTTATTTTTTATATTAAACGTCCAGCAGAATTGATTAGCTTACGTATTCAACTTTTAGAAAAAGTAAACTTATCTTCATTGATTACTATTTTCGATATAAGAAAGGCCTTGATTTACCAAACGAAGAAACAGAAGCCAATCAGCAATGAAATTGCTGTCTAAAAAATCTAAGAATCTTTTGAAAACGTCAACAGAGAGAAGAGACTCTTTATTTTCATAAGTCATTTACTGGCTATCTAAATGGGCTACAGGTGGTACAGAGCAGAACTCTCTACCTACGCCATCACTTCACATGCTTCAACCATTAGTGGGCGGATAGTCGTAGGATAAGTAAGTAAGTTAGTTTTTGTCTTAATTTTCAAACAGGTTAACTTTTTTTAAAGTTTAGATATTATATGAAACTCAAAATTGTACTAAATATAATTCTTAAATGAAGCGTCTTGGAAATTTTAGAAGATATTTTTGACAGTTAAGTGCTAAAAATATTATGGCAGGGGAAAATTTTGTAGAACATTGAGGAGAACAACTGAGGAGAGGGAAGGGAAGAAGCTTTTGACATGGAACCAGTCTTCTACCCAGATGAAGTATTCTACTGTAGCGATCGCGATTATCTTGCGTCTAATCAGGGCTTACGTCACACTGGAAGTGCTCACTGGAGATAAAGAAAGTCGGTAAACTGCAACTTTGACTGTTTAATGTTTTCGTTTGCTTTTGATGACGGAACGTAAACAAATTTTGCCAACTTTTATGTTTCTTTCGTAATTCAATCTACTTAACTTTCATTAATTAATAATGTCTAAAGCTGTGATACTTATCGGAGGGCCCCAAAAAGGTACTTTTTAATTCTTTCAGTTTGTTTTACCCTGGTTTTGTCTAGTTGATTTGTGTATGAAAAGTTTTTATCGGTGTTTTAATTTTCGTCTGCTAGGATTTTAGAATTCAAACTGTTGTTTTCGTTTTTTGCTTTACAATTGTAAATGACATAAACATTAAAATTTTTAATTATTTTGAAGCTTTTTTTTAGTATCTAGTGCATGTTTTAAGAAATAAATAGTCTTACTGACTCATTTCATATTTATATATTTAAATGTCTATTCTCAGACCGGCTGCACTTAATTTAAAATTTACTTACCAGATTGTAATAATTAGTTTTGCATTTTAGAAATTTATTTTAATATCTTTTAGTTGATTACGGTTTAGTTTATTTATTTGATAAAAATCTGACATTTGTTTACCGTTTCGAAATGTCAAACTTGCATGTATGCAAACTTAATTATTTTGAAATTTATTTTAGGGTGTAATATTTCTTATTGTGCGATTTCTGGCTTATTTGTTATTTATTAAAGCCTAATAAGGTGTGAAAATTACTTTTAGCATTGTTTTATTGTTCTAAGGATCTTTCTTATCTATGGACACTAAAACCAGTGTGATCACCCCAGTGATCAATAATTTACCCCACTTATTGGTTGTAACGTTTGAAATATTTCATTGTAATTAAATTAAATGTTTATTGCAGATGTGAAAGAAAAATTATTGAAAGCCTACTTAGTTTTAGATGAAATTAAAAAAAAAAATGCTAGTATAAGAACCAGTTTAAAGTCAGTACTTTATCTTTTAAATTAATAAGTGAACTACAGTTTAGTTTTTATTAAAATATTCTAAGAAGTCTGGCCATATCCTGAATTACAAGTATTTTTAAAAAATAAAATTAAGTGATCATTATTCACTCCCGAAATGAGTTGAGGGTGAATTACTCAGGCTCAGGTCCAACTACTTTTTTAACTTCAGAATTTCCACACTTCTGAGTCAAAAAAATAGTCTCCTTTATTCTAAATTGGTTTAATATGAAAATTTATTAGCTGACATAAAAATTATAAATATCTTTTTTTATTCATAAGATTTTAAGTAATAAGAAAGACCATTTGCAAAAAAGTTTTATTAAAGGTTATAATTTTATCGAGTTAAACATTTTTTATTTAATTATTGTAGTTAAATTCATTCTAATAATTATTGATGTATCATTCTTATTTTTAATTTTTAAAATTTATTTATTCATCTGGCAATTCAATTAATATTTTGTAAATTTTGGTATTTGTTTTGAATTTTAAGGATAAGCAAGATTTACTGCAGTATTTTCTAAATCGAAGTTTCAGATATAAACAGCTAATGATGCACAGACATGCAATTTGTTAAAGATAATTCTTATTCAAACTTATCATTTAATTAGACTTATTAGCTTTTTATTTACCTTTTTTATTTCAAATGAAATATTATCATTTCTAAAAAATCTTGATATATTTTGTTGAAATTTCTTAATTAAATTTATGATAAATTGTTGTCAAAACATATTTAAATTAAAATATTATTCTTAACAAGTATTTAAATTGATTTTATCATTGAACCATTATTAAACAATGACCTCTCCCTCAAAAAGAAAAAAAAATCATCCTGAATAACTTTTGATCTAATGATCGGATTTTGATGTACTAGTACTTTAAATTAATAGCTATGAGGGTGGCCTCAAAGATGCTAATTAATTTTTGCAAACTATATTTTTAATTATGAAATCAGGTGCAAAAATGTATTTTCTCTGAATAAACTTCTCTTTTTTGATAGATTTTGATTCCTTACTCTCAAAATATGTGGAGTAGCCGCAATCAATGAAATGTGGTACTAATAGTTTAGTCAGGGGAGCAGTCCATAGTTGGAACCCCTTAATGTTAATTTTACTATTTGAGTATTTTACTATGTCACAAGAACTGTTTAATTAGATATAAAAATTTTTGCACACATATATAAAATTCATTTGTCCAAAAATAATGCAAAAAATACATTTTAATAAATGATTATTTATTAATAATTATTTATTAATTTTTATTATTTTATTTAGTAATAGTAAAATAATAATTATTTATTAATTTTTATTATTTTATTTAGTAGGTATTAGTAAAAAATTTTGAATTGTAAAGCATACAATTTTTAAAATATTTTAAAGAATGCATTTTTTTATGGCTAAAGTTTAACATTTAAGCAAAATTGGTCGAACAGTTCCTAAGAGGTTGAATTTTGAATATATGACTTTTTAAAAGTCGATTTTTCAGGAACTGTTTGTTTGATTCAGTTCAAATTTTGTATTGTGACACATAAAATTACATTCTTGATGTAAATGTAATAGGTAAAAAACTATGTAAAAATTGATAAACTTTAAAATTCAATATTATTTTAGCAATTTTTGAATAATAAATAATCAATAATTTTTTTTAAAAATAATAAATAATTAATAAAATTTGTTTAAATAATAAATAATTAATAAAATTTATCTTTAGATAATAAAAAAATTATAATTATGTTACAAAATGTTTTCAATTTGCTTAAAAAAATTCTTGAGATATGACAAATTACGTAAAAAGCAAAATTAGCATTAAGGGATCTAAATTTGGCCTGCTCTCCTGACCAAACTATTATGCCCCTCCTTATATTTTGAGGGTCAGAAATCCAAATCTGTCTAAAAAAATATGTTTATTCAGAAAAACTACTAATTTGTGTCTGATTTTATGACTTAGGACATCGTCTGTTATGAATGTTTAATATATATTTGAGATCACCTCCTCAAACCATTGAGATTGAGTCTCCTAGTATGTGAAGATCTGATGATTAGATAAAAAGTATTTCAGAGTGATTAATTTTTTTGTACAATAATGTCTATAACGGTCTACAATAATGCACTGTATTCACTGTACAATAATCTCTGTAACTTTTATTATTATAGGTACTAGGTTTCGACCTCTTTCATTTGATATTCCAAAGCCACTTTTTAATGTTGCTGGTGTTCCGACTATTCAGCATCTAATTGAAGCTTGTATCAAAGTCCCTGGTATTCGAGAAATTTTAATTATTGGCTTTTATAATGCTGAAACAATGAGTGAATTTCTATCTTCCATGAAGGACTATAAAATAAAAATTAGGTAAAAAATTTCCTTTATATTTTTTACTGAATTTAATATTTTTGCATAGTATAAATAATTTATATGATGTAAAAATGGTTTTTTCGTTGCAGTATAGTGATTTTTTTTCTTTTTTATTCTAGTTACTTAAAGGAGTTCATAGTTTCTTGTAATTTACTAATCTAAATAGATGAGAAAGAAAAAAATCTTCTTGAGAATTGTTTAAATTGTTTATAATATTGAAGATGTATCAAGTGGTTTTCAAAGATAAAAATTAAACTTTTCATTTTTTTTTCAATGTTGATCATTACATTGGAAGATGGCTATCAATTTCTAGTGTTAAACTTGTTATTTATTTATAATATTATTTTTGTTATGCATTATGGTGAAAATTAAATCTATAAAAATTGTGAAAAATGCAATTATGCCTTGTGACTATGCTAAGATTAAATAAAAAAGCTTTCATAAATATTCTTTATTAAATATAGTTATTTCTTTGCAACTCGTAAATTGCAAAAATAATTATTTTGCTTCAAACTTCAAGTATAAAAAATTTCTTTTTTTAACATAATGAGGTAAAACTTGCGAATTTCTATAATTATAATAATAAATTATTATTTTTTTTTTGCTAGTTGTCACTTATTGGCGATCAAGGTTTTCACTATACATAAAATGCTCTATTAAAAGAATGCAAAGAAAACTTAAAATCTAAAACTAATATTAAAGGGTTTAAATTTGTACTTTACTATTGAGGCAATATTTTACAAATTGTGGCTACTGTTATTTTAGGAGTCAAAATTCAAATGACTATCAAATTATGTTTACTCATAGTTATTGATTTTATAGCTTAGTTATTTGTTATGTACCTAAGCGTGGTCTTCAAGCCATTAGGATTGCAAGCAAATAGACTTATTATATCAAAATTTATTTTTTAAGATTATTTATTATGCAAACAAATAGACTTATTATATCAAAATTTATTTTGTTAGATTATTTATTATCATTATGTTCTTTTAGTTGATTGCATATGCTGTCTAATTATGTTTAAGTGTTCTATAATTGTAAGGGGTTGTTCAAGTATTTGGTAAGCATCTAATAAAGTATTAATGGTGTGAATAAAAAGTTTTAAATTCAATTTGTAATTGAATATATATGATGAGATATCAGCATAAGTTAGAAATGCTGTTGTATTCAGTAGCATATGAGTAAGATTATTCAGATTTTCATACAGTCCCTGAAGATGATATAATTATCTTTTTACATTTTTTGATCTTTTAGAGAGTTTCTGCATGTTCATGCTTGTTAGACTCCGTTGTGGCATGTAAGTCAGCCACCCATGTTGTAGATTATAGTTTTTATACTACTATATAAAACCATTATTTCTCAATAATTTTAATTATTTAAGTAGTTGATTATTTCTTCTATTTATTAATTAAGTAACCCATTGTTTCAAATAAAGATTAACTGTGAATACATATAATTAAATAATTCTCAGTTAATTTTTCAAGGTGGAAAATAAAATAAAGATTATTTTAAACAATTCCATCATAAGTGATTAAATACTGTGCCTTAGAAGGATTTACAATATGTAACATTCAATATGCATTAGATGCAATTTATGGCAGGAAAATGTTTATACATTTAAAATGATTATATATCCATATTTATATTTTGTTTACAGAGTGCTAAAAGTAAAATTTGTTAAGATTCTTGTTCAGCAAACAATGTATATGAAACATGATACTGTGTTTTGGATTCTAGTGATAAATAACAAAGAGAAATTTTTGAAACATACTCTATGTGTAATTTATTTATTATAGTTATTTTATTATAGTATTTTTATTATTTTAATTAATAATAGGTTTCCAGCTCATTAAAAAGTGATACATTTTATTTTGTAGGTATCTTCAAGAATATACATCTCTTGGAACTGGTGGAGGAATATTTCATTTTCGAGATCAAATTCAAACTGGTGATCCAGAAGCATTTTTCGTGATAAATGGGGATGTTTGCGGTGATTTTCCATTAGTTGAAATGCGCAAATTTCACCAAGAGAAAAATGCTTTGATAACTGTTCTAGGCACTGAAGTAATTTATTGTTTTAAAATATGTTTTAAAGTCGTTTGATTGTTTTCCTATTACATAAAGTTTTACTGCTATTTAGTTTAAACAATGAGTAGTAAGACCAGTGCAGCAAAAAGGAATAGTTTTAGAGTTAAAATTTCTTTCAGAAGAGGCATATTATATAAATTATTAAAGCTTTATTTTCTTTTTACAAATTCAAGATAAATAATGCATAAAATAACTTAAATATGTATCATTGCTAATATTTACACTGTAACATTTTTATGAACAAAAAATTTGAAAATCTCTACTGAAAAATTTTTTTACAGCACCATTGGTTGTGGTTAATATGAGTATTTGTGTGCTTTGATAGTGTATATTGAGTTGGAGTGTCTTTTATATGGAGGTGAAGTTTCATTTCGATTTTTTTTTCTGGAGATCCTGCAATTTTTTAATCTCACCCATTTGTTTGATGACAAATACTATGTACATTAAAGATAACTGTTTTATAACACATTCTTTTCTGTTAGTCTCAAATTATAATAGAAAAGATTTTCCAATGACCTCCATGACATGTATAACACTAATTTTCATCCATCAAAAAGGGTGTATTTTGATATCCACTTTACACACAGAATATTACTATTTTTTAAAAATATTTTAATAGTGTGAAAAATTTAAAATAAGGCTGTAAATATCTGAAGTATACGACTTGTTAGAAGATCTTTATATGAATGAAAATGCTATATTTGATAAGTATTTTTAATATTATATTGTTTAAAGTATTTATTTACATCTTTTTTCCCCTCTAGGCAACACATATGCAGTCTCAACAATATGGATGCATAGTTAAAAATAATGATACAAATAAGGTATATATAAATGTTTCTACTTACTCCGTCTTATGTGTAGTTTTTTCATAGGAATTTTTTTAAACATTTTTGCTGTTCTTTAGGACTTTTGGAGGCTTTAAAAAGTTTTTAACTGTATAATTTAGCAAAAATACTTTTCTTAATTTGTAGTTGACTTTTTTAAAAAATAAATTCTTAAACTAGTTTTTATTAATTGTAATACTAAGTAATTTGTTACCTAATTCTCTGAACATTGATTGCAAAAGAAACAGCACCACAAAGTCTTTTCAATTTAAAATTCTTATAGTTAGTATCTATAATCTATTAACAATAACCAAGCAACTATGGTTCAGTTTGATGGTGTGATATGATTATATTACTAGTCTAATGATTATAATGCTAAGATTTTCAAAGCATTTTAATGAGTAGAACATCTAATGAAAATGAAAGTAATGATTTGTAATTAATTGAAAATTGCCCCTTCGTCCAGTGGTACTTTCTTTGTCTACTGTTACTTTTGAAAATCATCATCATCATCAATGGCTCAACAGCCCAGGTTTTTTTCTAGGCCATCTATCGGCCTGCCTCTTTTTCGTGTGCCAACTGGTCTGGCATAAAAAACTCTTGTGGTACTGTCTTCATTCATTCTGATAACATGACATTTAAAAATAGCTAATTAAAATTGATTATTGATTTAATTAATTATTGTTGATTACTTTCACCTGAACCAGGTTTGCTGTTTATTAAAGTTATCTAAAACTTCTATGATTTAACTATAAATGTACCCTGGTGAGATTAGTAGAATAATGACAATGTTTTGATTGACAAATTAAATATAAAAATATAAAAAAAAACTGCTGTAAGTATGTCATTGCCTCTTGGGCTATAAGGACTTGGACAATTTCTTTTCATTTTGGCATTATTTTTTTGTCAAGTAACTTATGGCAATACTGGCTTTTATTGCAAATTAACTGATGAAATCATTTTTGCTATGATAAATGAACAATAAAAAAATGAGTAAGTGTAAACAAATATCAAAATCTAGAAAATGGATACAATAAAACTGGTTTTTAAAATGAAGATGAATAATTTGCTCACACTGATCATAAAATTACTTTTTGAGAATTTGACCTGAAATTTTTTTGCCATTCATTAATTACTTAAAATTTAATAAAGAAAAAACAAGTTTAGCTTTATATAAAATTTCCATATTATGCTAAACTTCTTTTTGGGAGTTTGATAGCTTTTTTCAGAGTATTATATCAATTTCTAAATACTGATTTTTTATTCTTTAAATTTAGATTGTGCATTATGTTGAAAAACCATCATCTTTTGTCAGCACTACTATAAATTGTGGAGTGTATATTTGTTCTCCAAGAATATATGACCATTTAGGTATAATCTTCAAGAATAATCAATTGGATAACAATTTTGGGTGAGTTAATTACATAATTTGAAATGCATGTAAAAAATTATAAGTCTTCCCATAATTAATATGGTTTCAGTGTGATTGATTGTACATAAATGAACAAGTGAAAGGGAGTAAAACTTTAAAAACTTTTATAATTTTGATTTTTTCCTCTGTTTGACCTAGACTTTTTCAATTTAACAAAATTACCAATAAACGAAGATTTAAATTACTATACTGTTATGACAAAAATCAACAAAAGTGTCGAAAAATTCGAAATTGAGATTTATGTATATATTTATCAATTTTATGTATTAAGCTACATATTACTAAAAATATATATTTTAGAAAAGAATTTTTTATCAATTTTCTGAAATTTAACTTTAGCAAAGAATATTAACAAGTGGAAAAAATAGTTGTCAAGCCACTTTTCTTTAATACTATCGTGAAGCACTTCCATTGTTTTTTCAATTCAATGGTAGTATAATATATCAAAATATTAGTAACCTATTAAGTGTTTAATATTAATACTCCCAGTAGTCATCTAGAATTGGTATTAACACTGAATCTTTTCAGTGTAAATTTTTACTTTAAAAAAAAAACTTAAGCCTCATATTGCTTTTATTAATAAATAACAGTTGACAACTATTAGAGATGATTGTTTAAGAAGCAACTGTTTCCACAATAATTTAAAATCTCAAATTTGATTACTAAAAGTTTTAAAGTGTGTTAATTCTAATCTTTATGATAACAATGGGGTATATTTTTAGATTGAAAAGTAATGTTTTGAATGATAATAATTTAATAGCTTTTTTTATTAAAGGTAAATTTTGGTGTTTGACGATAAAATTTGCTAGTTCTTTTAAAGAATGAAATATTTCTTTTCAATTGTAGTGCACTGTCTGAAAATCTTCTGTTAATATTAATTTAGATTAAAACTTTTGACTTTTTGAAAGAGCTACTTTTCAAATGAGCTTTAGTCTTTCTTTTCTTCCAATTTATTATCCAGTTATTGCTAACGCTTGTCTAGCTTTTAATGTTATATTATTTATAATATGTAACTTTTAACTGAAGCGCATTGTTACTAAGCATTGAGTTAATTACTTAGATTAAGTATTGGATATGTATTACTCATTTATGCAAAGTTAATTTCATGTAAAAAATATTTTTTTAAATTATTTATTATATAATTTACTGTTAGTCGAAATTAAGTTGATTTTATATTCTATTATATTTTAAAGTTATATTAATTATTATAGTATTGGTCAATAGTGAGATATGCAGATTTTTGCATAATTTTAAACTGTGTAATTGACAAAATTTAAATGATTGCTGAGAATGTTCCAATAATTTTAAAGTACAACTTTTTTAAAATTTAATTAATCAGAAATTTTTTGGTTTCTTTCTTTGTGCTCTGTTATTTAAGATAACATAGTTCCAAATTTTTTTGACAATTATTAAATTTAATGAAAAAAATATTAAATTAAGGCATTGCAGGAAGTTATAGACAAGTTTTGTAATTGTATGCAAAAATATTTCTAGAGATAGGGTGAAATATGCAAAAAGTGAAATTAAACAGTTTATTAGTCACAAACTTTCAACTGTTCTTTGAACTTAACCATGGAAATCATATTTACATGATCGAAGCTACTACATATGTTTTCAAGGTTAATTATCCAGATCTGTTAAAAATGAGGTATTTTCTCTCAGAAAAGTTCAGTTTTGGGTATAATTTTATTTCTTAAAATATTGTTAGCCCTAATTAATTAGCATATTTAAATATAGACCCTTCAACCATTAAGAGTGAGCAGGATTATGTGAAAATCATATCATAATATCAAAAGTTTTTTGGTGTTCCATTTTTTATTGATCTTTTTTTTCATAGACCCTGGAGTGAAGTTACTTCATCACAAGATAGTATCAGCTTAGAGCAAGATGTTCTTATGAAATTAGCAGGGAAAGAAAATGTTTATGTTTTCTCCAGCAGTAGTTGGTGGAGTCAGATGAAAACAGCTGGGTTTGTAAACTACTTATTTCTATTAAAGTTTCAGCTTTAATTTTTACATTATAAAATTATGGTAAGATGCATGTACTAACTTACTAAAATGCTTTTACAATTTGTATTTATTTATAAAAACTAACTAACTCAGTGGCGCGACAGCCCATTAAGAGGGCCAAGGCCGACTGTGCCCATCTCAGTTTTCTTGACCTTGGGCTCTGGGGTGCAGGAGCATATGTTCCGATCAGGTGGTCAGCCGAACGCGGAACCCCCAGTGTTAGTTCCCAAGCACGCTTGGTACTCATTTTATCGACCCACTGAAGGGATGAAAGGCTGAGTGTATTTATTTATAGTGTAGATTAATAATGCTTAGTTAAAAAAAGCAACTGTTTAATTTAGTATATTAGATATTTTGTGAAAAATTGGCTAAGTAATGCAATTTTGGGTGTAACGGAAGTGGTGAAAAGTGATGTTTGTTCACTATCGGCAAAGATTGTACCAAGAACCTTTTGGGTCTGTAGCCGAATGCTTTGGCCAGTATGGAAAAAAGTAAACGCTCCAACTAAAGTGAGTTGATAAAGCTTTTATGGTGGTTGCCACACATTCTCCCTTCAGTGAACGAGATTCCTGATTAATTGTCATCTGATCCTGATTCATTGACTCATAATGATCCTCAACTATGAGTGTTACTCTTAATTGAGGGTCTGCTTGGCTGTGAGTAAAGTTGCCCTATTAGCAGAGTTAGGTCTTTGATGTCGATCGAAGAAAAACAAGCAGTTTATTTTTCATGTCACCGAATTGTCAGATTAAAATACTATTCTGCAGTTATCTTAACTTTTACCTGTAAATTTAGATTGTTGATTTGCTGATTACAGATAAAGCCTGTTTTTTTTATGCTGGTATAACAGTTATATTTAATATTAGTGACAACATAATAGATAACAGTAACTTCTTACCTATTTTTCTCTGCTAACTTTTGCACATAGCTTTCTATTAGGTAACATGACTTAAACCAGTGTGAATATAATGGAAACCATTTAGAATCATGAATTAAAAAAATTGTCTCCAAACTGATATTATTAAATTTTTATCTATACGGAAGCCATTGGAATATTATGGAAACTACTGAGAATCATGAATTCAAAAAATAGTATTCATACTCATTTAAGATATTTTTTTCTAATTAATACATCTGCATTATAAGTTAAAAAAAGTGTGTATGTATGTATATATATATATATACAGTGTAACGTCCCTTTTCCGGAAGGGTCGATTTCCCGGACACTTTTTAACAATCAAAATAAACAAACATTTCTTCATCTTTCCCTCTCCTTTAAAAAAAAAAAAAAAGAAGTCTTTT